GTTACCTCCCCATAGCAAAAGTTGCTTTCTGATTGTATTATCCGGCGAACTACCAATGCACCTATGTCACGTCCCCGTTGTTCTACTGGTTGACCTCGTTCAATTAAGGTAACATCAGCACCAAGCTCTCCAAGCACAAGAGTAGCAAACAAACCCGCAGGACCACTTCCAACAACAGCAACTTTTGGTTTGTAAGATGGAATATTGCAGTGACTATCAGCATCCCCTGCTACTGTACCTTCCAGATCCTTCTTGCAGTCATTTAATAAACTGAATAAATCACCAACAGCTTTTTCTTGGGGAATATGCTCAACAATTCCAACCTTAGGCTCCATTTCAGAGATGAAGTCCCATAACCGAGGTTCAGAATTTAAGAGCTTCTCGACATTCATGTCAACTGTGTAAACAAACTTAGGTGTCTTCAATAGCTGAAAGAAACATGACGGTAACACATGTGTAAGTCCAACGACAATCTAGATCACCCAGGGAAACTCACATGATCTTCATTTTCAAGTAATTTTTAACTAAAACCACACTCACAATTTAAACATGCACTAATATAGAGCCCTAGAAGTGCACAGAATATCGAGATACCATAGCATCATACTGAGAAGAACACATAATTAAGAACACAAAACCAGTAGGTAAGAGAGCTCTAGGAACCTTTATGTGTTATAAATCACCATTCATCATCAAGAGATACCTAAAGTTTTCACAAAAGGAGAAAACAAAAATTAATAAGGCGTAACATGCACCATCTTTGGAAGTATGACAGCATAAAGAAAATAATAGCTTCAAAGAAGAAAATTGTCCACCAATAGGATAAACACTTCGGCTAACAGCATGACTTCTATACATCGGGTTTAAATGTTATAACAACACCTATGCAATCAGAGGCAAGATCTTGTTTTACCTTATGGTCCTTATCTAGAATTATTTTCTTACAAAATTTTAGGGTACTACTCCCCCCTCTCCCTTAATGTTTGGCCCATTTTCCTCTTTAGGTCATCCCTTTAACTTTGCCCCCTACTAATTTTGGTTGTAGGGGACACAACTTTACTCCCACAACCACTACATTTAACCCCACTTCTCTCTCACATCAACTCCTTTTAACCAAAAATTTAAAACAAAATTAACTCTACCCCTTTGGACTTTTGAAGCAAATTAAAAGAGATAGAGGGAGTAATAAATAAACTACCCTAATCTATAGATTGGAATGCTCAAGTACAACAAAAACAAAACATGCGTAATGCCCTTAGGCCCGGCTAAGGGTGACAACATCAACACATAGTTACAACTTACAAGACCACCAATTTGATTAGAAAAAAATATTCCTAAGGGGCTAAGGAAGTAAAAAGCTAACACAAATGGCACTTATTTATCTGTGCAGGGGTGGGTATGATTCGCGTGAGGACAAGAATGTGCAACTTACAGAATTAAAAGTAACCCATCATTTAGAACTATCACTTTCAGCCGTTTCAGGCTTATTTGCAAATTAGATCATTCTTGAGCAATCAGTCACTTTATTGAGGAGCTTAATGTTCGGATTCGTGCATCACAAGTTCACTCAATCATAAAACAAAGCAATCTATATCACAAAAAACTTTGTAATTCATGACCAGGAAAATCATTGAAAAACTCTCTTAACCAAAAGATCACAAAAACTCCATGCTCTTTGTCCCTATAAAACTCTCTAACCTTAAGGAATAAACTGAATGACACACCTCTAATACATAATCTTCTCCTCTATAAACATTGAATGCAAGATAAATATACTATTTAGGAAAAGAATACCTTTCGCGCATCAAATGATTTTCTAACCACTGTAAATGCTTCTGCTGGAAGCAATGAGGCAACCTGCAAACAAAAATAGTAGCAGCTAAACTTCAAGATACTCAAACACTGATATTCACATGAAACTGAATAACTTTTTGCACCAATTTAGCATCATTAACCCACAAATTTCAACACATAATCATAATAAATAATTCTTCAAATCTCAAATCCCACAATTAAGCACCTAATATAAAAAATCAAAAAGTTAAAATCATAACCCAATATAGCATTTTTCTCAATTGCATCAAATAAACAAGGATTTAGCAAAACATAGCTAAAAAAATTTACGACAAAATCACGCGTTGCTCGGTGTAATTAAATGTTCAATTCTCCTTACCGGGAATTCAAGAACTTTGGCAATTTGTTCAAGGAGAGCATGAGAAACACCAAGAAAATCTTTACCAGGGTCTTTATCAACTTCAACACCAAGCTTAGATAATCTCCAAAACCCTTCAAATTTATCCTTAACACCCATTTTCTGTTTATGAATTTGTTTGAGTTTCTTCTTCTCAGATGGGTAACGGAACTTCCCTGTTCTTTGTGACCTTTTTGCGCATCGAATTTCGAGGCGTTTGGGTGAGTATGAGGTGGGAAAGGAAGATGGGTTTGAGAGGAGAGAGAAAAGATTGGATTTTGGGTTTGGAGTGAGGGAATGTAGGGAGAGAGAGCTCGAGGAAATGGACATGGTTGTGCTTGGGGAAGCGGGAGTTTGGTGTTCAAAACTTCAAATGTTGCAAATTTGCAAAATGTAAAGGGGGTTTTACTTGATAAGGTTTAAGATTTGCACTCCCTCCATATACATGTTACCTAAACTCGGGTACCTATATTCGACACCGGTACATGTCAAATTGTCCGACATGTCAATTTTATAACCAGTTACATTTGGGTCATATATATATATATATAATGCATGATTTTGAACAAATAAAAAGTGAACTAGTGTGCGATGCGCTAAGTTGCTAGTTTGTACTTGTTGGTTTCGAGTTTAAGTCTTGCTATAAACATTTTTTAGCTGTCAAACTCAATCATTACATAACTGGAACAAATAGTATAATAAAACACCAATTAACTTATCTAAGTTAACTATAATCTTGTTGGATAAAAAAATACAATTAATAAATGGCTAAGATGGTAAGACTTGTAACTTAAGCCTTGTATCAGTTGTATGTCTTGAGCTCAAGTTTTGTAATAAGCATTTTTTAGATGCAAACCTAACGCTTTTTAATATAGAAGTATAGATATAGATAGATGTTCAAGTGTTAAACGACTCAAACCCACATTTGAGCGGCGAAAGTAGAGACACAGGTATTTATAAAATACAGAGTCCATGTAACATAGATTCCTCTTTTTTTCCAAGGAAAAGTGCTCTAAATAAACATTTGAGGGAGAGCCTCTTTTCTTACCGTTGTAAGAAAAAAATACAAAAACTCTCGTATCATATATTTTGTAACTTTTGGCAAAAATGGATGCAACACGGTATTTGCAACTAATGTTTTCTTTCCTTTTTAGGTTGTCATTTCTCTCTATCTCTCTTCTCATCATATGCATTTCTATCTTTCTCTTTCTATCTTACACTCACAAACAACATTTGCCAAGGAGTTTGTGCACCCTTCAAAGTCGCAAAAAAATATACTCCGTAATACAGAGGTAGTATAAAAATGATCGTGTGCGTAAATAATGTTTTTACAACTAAAGATACTCCTTATTCAAGTGTATATGCAAAAAAAAAAAAAAAAAAAGTCAGTGTCCAGATGAGTATCTCAGGGATTATTTCGTTTGAAACTATATTATTAACATTGTAATGTTAAAAATTATCTTGTTTGCATGTAAGGAAAATTTTCAATCTGCGTGCTTCATTTCTAATCCATGAACATTGCTTAATTAGGGGTTCGTCTTATTTTGGTCCTTAAAAATCAAATTTGAGGTCGAAATTGGCAAAAAAAATAAAATAATATAAGCATTTCGATTTGCGTGAAAGGAGATGCATAAGTTTGCTTTTTTGCAAACCGTCGATATAGCCCCCCCTTAAAACCTTAATCAACGATAATACCAAAATTACCCCAAAACCTTTTATAGAGCAATTTTTTTTTACAGTTTAAAAACAGATCATGCAATCCGAGGCGTTTTCTTACACCCAAACCTAAGGGTTTTTTATATAGAGATGCTCATCAATGACCTAGCCCCTAGCCCTCTACCCCCTCTAGCCCAATCCGGCCCGACACGCCAAAAAAATGTGAGTTTGGGCAAGCATAAAAACGTATTTTTAGTTCAAAATTAGAACATGATCCAAAAAACTGCTTTGGACTGCTATAAGTATTTTGCCAATTAAGGCACAAAAATTTATTTAAAAGCCCGACCTGGCCCGAATTTTCACCTTTAGATTCTTGGTCATTTTTTCCAAGTTTGACCCAATATGCTAGCCTAGTCCAACCCTACTAGAAAAATTTTGGGTTTGGACAAACATAAAAATGTACTTTTATTTCAAAATTTGAACTCGAAAAAAAAAAACACATTAAAAACTCGTTTTGTCTGATAAAATGACAATTTATTGCGGGTAAAGATAATATTTATTAAAAAAGACTTAAACTGACTCGATTATTTACACACACGACCCACTAACCCACCTTAACCACCATTGCCAAGCCCAATGATCCACAAACCCGGCTTGCCCTACTACTCACAACCTGCCTAACCCACAAGTCAATTCCGTCCCACCCACGCTCAAGAACTTAACCTTGTCATGTCCATTTTATCTACCCATCCCACCTTAGGCCAACCCAAGCTAGTCCCATGTCTACCTATCCCAACCCATGATCCACCTAACCCCGATACAACCAAGCCCACACAGTGGCCACCTTTGGTTACCAACCATTTTAGGATAATTGACCCAGAGCTTGTTCTCTTCAGCTTAATTTCACTTAAGTTCAGTTCAGCTCCAATCATTTCAATTTCTAATTTTTTTTTTCATAAAATATTCGGTTTCAATCAGTTTAATAATTCAGTGAATCAAAACAGACCATTAGTTTTAAGTTTCACCCTTAACCATTGTAAAAAATTTAAAATGTAGCCCAATAAATTAGGATGGACCAAAAATGAAAAAAAATGAAATTAGGAATAAGGTTGGACCAAAAATGAAAAAACCACCCAATACGAAAATGGGCCTGTGAAAGGGTTAGGGTTTTAGGTGCTTTAAAATATCACAAAAATTTATCACTCCATTCTACTCTTTTGCGCCTCCGTCTAACCTATCTTCTCTCTGCAACTTTCAGGTTCTTTCTCTCTCCTCTCTTCATCAATTTTTCTTACTCTTTTTCATGATTTTGATACGTTTATTCTTTTAGTTTATATAATTTTCATGATTATACATGTTTTCTAGTTGTCTGTTTTATTTGAATTTCATGATAAACAAGGTTTTAGACGATTTGAAATGTTGAATAATCTATGAATCAGTACTAGGGTTTCCTGGTTTGATTTGTAGAGTACTAAGTATTTTTTTAGGTTTTGAAATGTTAAATAATCAGTGAATCAATACTATAACTTTTCCTCTAGGTTAAATTAGCTGTTTTGTTTGATTTATAGTGTATTTTTCGTGATAATTAGGAAATTAATTATACATTTGCTATGATAAATCTCGCAAAATTTGATGGTAGATTGATACTAATGGCTTAGGTTAGAGATTATATAATGTTTGCTGGATTTAAAGCTACTAGAACAATTGATTTTCATTAGGTTGCAAATAATTGATTATATATATATAACAAGGTTGTATTTTTCTTTCATGTTTTCGACCTTCAATGTTTTTTGATGCTATATTCATGAATTATATGGTATTGATTTAGGTTGATTAATTTTTTGTATGCTTCTACTAATTAATTGTCAGAATAACCTTATACCCTGTTGAATGTTTAGTGTAATTTTTGTAATCCATTTTCGTTTGCTGCTACTAATAAGTTGTCAGAATTACGTTGTACTCTGTTGAATGCGTTAGTGTAATTTTTGTAATCCATTTTTCGCTTGCAACTACTAATAAGTTGTCAGAATAACCTAATACTCTGTCGAATGCATAGTGTAATTTTGTAGACAGCAATTGAATGTATAGTGCAACTATTATATGAAATAATAGATGGATTAAAATTGTGAAATGTTGATACATATACGTGTATATTTATTTATTTGTTTATATATTTTTGGTTAATTTTGTAGAAATAAGCAATGGCGGTTCCCAAACTTGATAAGAAGATAGTGAAGAAGAGGGTCAAGCAGTTCAAGAGGCCCCAATCTGACCGAAAAATCTGTGTGAAGGTATAACATTTGCAACAAAGTTTTTTTTTGGGGGATTTAAATGTTATTTTTAGTCAATTTCTATGTGAAAATGGTAGTTTCTATGCTGAGTGGTATAATTGTTGAGATGAAGTTCATATGAGTTGGTTGATTAATTAATAAGTGGCAAAGATTACAAAATGCAATTTGTTTGGCTGGTTGCTTAATTATTCATAGGAGAGGAAGATTACAGGATACAATTTGTTTGGTGTAGATAAGTAGATTAGTGTATTGGTGGTCTATTTTGTGATGTGTTAGTTGGATATTGTGGTGTATGATGTATCAATGCTGAATTATAACAAGTGGCAAATGGTATATCATGGATTAATTATGACCTATGAGTGGTATATAATGATGGTTGCTAGATTTCGGGATTGAATTAGAGGCATCCTGTTTATCAATTTCTTTTTTGTGTTATAGACTTGTAGCTGATCTCTTGTATCCTAGTATAGTACAAGTAATATGTACTCTGTAATAGTTGTAGTTAAATCTGTATCCCGGGCTAGTAAATAAGTAGATGGGCCTAAACACAAAAGTATGGCATCCTTGTTCTGATATTAATGTATGAAGCTTGCACCTTGGTATTAATTATATGACCTGGCCTAACATTGAAGTCCAAATTTTGGTACTTTTTCCTGTTATCCTGTAAGTGGGTTGGTGCTTGATTATCCATGTCTACCAGTCTATTCAATCTGAAACATTTAGTAGGCTGTGCATGTTTTGACTTGTGATGTTTTTATCCAAAATTTAGGGTGTGTAGAGCATTTTTTGACTATGGTTGGTTAGAACTTGATATTCAAACTTGAAACTAATTTCGATGTGAAGTTGATAGAGCCTTGTTAGGTCTTTTTATTTTTTTATTTTTTATCTTTTGTTATTGAATTTGTATCATCTGTAATTTAGTAACTCAGTGCTGTATTTTAAAATGTCATGTTTTGGTGTTCAAGACAGACTTGTGTACATTAATTTGAATTTCACCCAATTGTTTTGCAAAAGTAATTTATAGCGCAATGTTATTATATGTTGTTTACCAACTCGTTTGGGATGAGAGATTTAATCATAAACTGGATGCCCTCTCACTAAATGCTTAATAATCACGATTTGTTTATAGCACGTATTTTACTTTGATATTCATGCTGCCAGGATTGAGAATGTTTTGTGAAAATGCTAGCCACATGGGTTATATACCTTGTTTATATGCCCTGTTACTGGTCTAGGGTAGGGTGTTTCCTTGTATTCCGCTGTTTCTTCTGAGGCCATACAAATGTAAATTAAAACCCATTGTTGTGCCATTTCTCTGAAGTTTTTTCATCGAATTTGTCTCATTAACCTGAATGGTTGTACATTTGCAGACCAACTGGCGTAGGCCAAAGGGTATTGATTCGCGAGTGAGAAGAAAGTTCAAGGGAGTGACTCTTATGCCAAATATTGGATATGGGTCTGACAAGAAGACACGTCACTTCCTCCCCAATGGCTTTAAGAAATTTGTTGTGCACAACGTAGGTGACCTTGAACTTCTGATGATGCACAACAGGTAACAGATTGCCCTTTATATTCTTTGATCCTTTTTTCTTTCACCTCTGTTCCCTCCATGTATTCTGACTTGTGTACCTTACCTATTGCAGGACTTATTGCGCTGAGATCGCTCACAATATCTCAACCAAAAAGAGAAAAGATATTGTCGAGCGTGCTGCACAGCTTGATGTTGTTGTCACCAACAAGCTTGCAAGGTTGAGAAGCCAGGAGGATGAGTGATCATGGAACCCAAAAGTTTTGTTTACAATAGATTTAAGAGGTCTGAGCTTTCAGTATTAGGCAAGAACATTACAAATCGTTTTATGATGGTCTTTTCTTGTTTTAATTTTGCTGTAGTTCATGTTTCTGACTCGTATTTTGGAAACTGGAGATTTATTTTGTTAAATTGGGAGCCCAACCTGTTTATCAGGGACGAGATTCGGGATAGTTTTAACAATTGGACTAAAAAATCAAGTTTAGGCTAGGTGATTTTAAAGTCAAGTACTCTTACGGGATAAAAAATGGTAAATGTAACATGAATATAAGAGGAGCAAACTGTTTAATAAATGGAAAGATATAAATGATGTACGTGATATCAACTTTTGGGGGACGATGTTCACTTGGACTAATGGTAGAGAAGGGGATTTGAGTGTTAGAAAGACTTAACAGAAGATATGTAAACACAAGCTTACTTGGACTAATGGTAGGGTAGGGGATGATCGAGTGTTTGAAAGACCTGACAAAGGATACGCAAATACAAGCTTGGTAAAGAGACTCGACAAAGGGTTTATATCTATCTTTGTGTAACACTGAACCCAGGAAAGACAAAGGTAAAGTGGAATTCCAAAATTGAGAGTTGGTTGGCAACGTGGGAAGGTGTAAAAATAATGGAGTTTGAACAAAAGAAAGGAATGGAATGAGTGGGATAATTTTGAGAAAGACTTGGTAGCCTCTCTTGCAATGGAAGAGGAAGGAAAATGATGAGAACTTCTTTATAAACGGATATTTTATCAAACACAATTTTTTGTACGTGGCTAGTGACATTGTATGGCCGGGGTTTATTTACAGGGGGTTACTCGTTTACATGGGGCCTTAGGGGTTATTTATCTTGGAGTTACTTATTTGATCCACTCGATCGGTCAGGAGTTACTTTCAAGTCTCACATAGAAAACGCGCTAAATGACTGAGTAAGTAACCCTTACTAGTAACCCCTAAATAAGTAACTCCTACAAATAATCCTTGAGTAAGTAACCTTTACCAATAACCACTGATTTCATCAAATTTTTTTTTTGATGGAAATTTATTCATCAATTTTATTTCTACCTATTATTATTATTGAATAATTTAAAATTCAATAATTCCTTTGCTCTTTAAATATTGCGACGTTTGTAATTGTTTAACTTTTCGGATATTACTTTTTGACACCAATAAGGTCTTTGTCTAGTATTTAACTAATTTAAGATTGTAGATTTATGTACAATATGCTACAAATTCATCCCCTAATCTAAATTATAGTTTGTATTGCTCATATCATAATTTATATGTAATGAAATATAATTGTAATGTTCCTTTCGAAAAAAACAAAAATATAATTGTATTGTGATCTTTTTGCGTTTATAGGGAGTATATACTTTCACAATATCAACATTATATAATCAAAACATTCTATAATCAAAGCTATTTATGATTTAAATATATTTCAGGATGCAAAATCCTCTCCTATATTGTTATTTTAATGTAAGATCATCTTATTTTTTTCATCATTAATCAACTAAACACGACTATCTTATTTTAATTACTCTATTATTTACATTTGTAGATTCTAAATAAATAGAGTCCACAACATCAATTAATAACCAATCAAACATGTAAACATCCTATCATATTGCCGACCTCGCATGGGCCAACACTTAGCTTAGAAGGAGTGGTCGGTAGATTTTGACAAGTGGGCTCCACAACATCCGACTTAGCCGTTGTGCTTGAATAGGACTATATTATTCCATAACGATTTTTTAAAAATTCACCAATATTATAATAAAATTAATAATTAGTTGGGGGTGGCTTACCGCTAATGGGGTCTTCTCTTAGCCGTTCCTAGATACAAACTTTATTATCAATGGTACTTATTTTATTATATTTTTGGGGTAAAGCATGTGTAATGATTCTTATTTCATTATCATTATGAGTATTATTAATTTTATTTAGTGATAATCACTTTATCAAAACATCTAGTTTTAAGGGAGTTCTATAATTGTGGGAAAGAATTAAAAATTGTTTAGATAGTTATTCAATGATTTTATGAAGTTTTATTTAATCGGAAGAAGACGGGATACATAGTTTATTATGTTTAAATTGTCAATTAAACATGTGTAATAGGTTCTATTTTTGTTGAATTTTGTACAAGTTTGACTATATGAAGTATGAAGTACACCAATATGTAATTTAGTATAGAGTTTAATCCATGCATAGGTTACAAGTATGATATTACAATTATTAAGTAGTATTGGTGTAGTGGTTAGATATGGTGACTTTGATCTGGACTTCTTGAAATTAAGCCCCATTAGAGACATAGGTGGTGAAGATTCTCTATATTTTTTTTATAGCCTACATCAATTCCAAAGGTTTTGTCTCACTACTGGTAGATTAGAGGACTTATGATTCATGAAGGGTCGAGTTTAATTGAGTTATTCTCATTAGTCAATACGTATCTGAAAATAGTAGGACCTTATTAACCAGCTTACTTTATATTAATAAGGGGAAAAAAAATCACATATAGGCATCAGACAACTATGTCATATGGAGTACATATTGTAGGTTTGTAGTATAAGTTTGTAAAAAAGGCTATGTCACAATAATTTAAATATTTTATGTTTAGCCTGATTTCTTTTCTAATAATATTATGTTTGTCTGATTTCTTTCTTAATAATAATTATTTGTTTTTACAAACTTAAAAAAAAAATCAGTTGTACAATAATTATTGTACATCCACTATATAGATAGACTAGATTGATCAAAAGTTACCCTTAAAATAAATAAAAGTTACCCTAATATGCATAAAAGTAATCCAATACAAATAAAAATTATTAGTAAAGAATCACATTTTAAATGACTAAAAATCAATTATTTGTGATTAAATGTAATTAATTACCATTATAAAACTTTTCTTATTGTCTATTTATATAAAAATTGTATTATGTTAAAAGTTACCTAAAAAAAGGCAAAAAGTTACCCTAAAAATAGGTAAAAGTTACCCTTATACTGCTCGATGTACAGTAAAATTAGTGTAAACCGGGTATATACAAAAGTTTTTGTATTTTTTTTAGCCTGACTTTTCTCCTAATAATATTTATATTTAGTATGATTTCTTTCCTAATACACAAGATTACAATAAATTTACTTAGAAACTATACAAAGTACATCTCTACCTCTCATTTACTATTGCAACCAAAGAAAGATCATGTAATGTGATATGGTAATACCACAACCCAAGACAATGTATAATTTATAGATAAAAAATTAAGAATTAAATTTGACACTTCTGCTATGTACATAATAAAAATTACATTTATACTATAAAACATAATCATACAAGTTAATTTGGCATTTGACAACTTTTTTCTTCTTTTGCAAATCTCATCTCTCGATGACTCAACATCTACTTGTCATTCAATAGCTGTTACAAGTCTGGCTTGACAAGTAGTAACCTATCCAATAATCCAATACAATCTCATACCTTTATGCTTATATGAATCGAAATTTCCTTAAATTAAATTCTTTCAAAATTCAACGCTCACATAACTTTAATAACGACACCTTACAATTTCTCTTACCGTGATTACCTATAGCTATTTAACTTTGTGATTTTCTTTTCATCTCTCAACATAAAAGAACATATACCCTTAATCATCATATTTTTTTTTCCAAATCAAACCAATCGTTCAGATCACTCACTAGTTTTGAACTCGAAAGTGGGTTAATCATTCTAAACCCTCCTAATGATCAAAGATAAGAAAAACAAGGGGAAGAAAAAGAATTGAAAAGGAAAGCCACCACAAAGAGAAACCGTTGGAAAAGCCAAAGATAAAAAAGGTTACAGTATCATTAGGAAGATGGGAAATTTGACCCCATCGTTTCATCTAAAAGCATCTGTTAATAATTAAATAAGTCAAAATTTTGGTAATTTGTCGGTTTATTGTATCTGGTTTCCACATTTGTTTTTTCTAATAATAACAATAATATCTGGAGTAGAAGTACTATTTACTCATTCATCCTGCATTAAAATTTTCTCCATTTTTCTGGGTTTTTTTTTTCCTCGAAATTTGTTGCAGAATTTTCTGTCATTTTTGTAAAAAAGAGGGAAAATTGAAACTGGATTTTCTTACTCTTGAGTAATTATCAAATGGGTGTCATCTAAATTGTTGTCTTGAGATTTTATTGATATGTTTTGATCTACTGTAAATGGCGCGATGACGTGAAAGAAAGTGTTTTTTTTTTTTTTGTTCAGGTTTTCTGGGTATTTGTCAAAGGTTACAATTTTGGTCTGTTTTGCTGAACTTTTCAGGTATATTTTCTTCATCTTACTTTTCTTTTACTTTTGATTTTTGCAGTCGATGATTTGCCTTTTGAGATTCTGGAATTTGAGAATTATGGGTGTTATATGTGAAATATGCCTGTTTTTTAGACAGTTTTTTTTGTAGCATGAACGTCCTATTTGGTAGGCGGTAATAAATTAATAATTTTAAACGACAGCATTGGGTGGAAAATGTGTAATTGAGGAGGGATGATGAATATATCTCTGGTATTGCTGTTTTTTTTTTTTTTTTGCTTTACAGTTTCTTGAAATTAAGTTTGAGTATTTATTGTCAGGTAGAGTATTTTAACATAAATTAAGGCCAATTTGCAAAGTTATCACAGTATGCAAATTTGCATATGGAAGGCTTGTTTGATACAGTATATCAATATATGGAGTATGGAATAGTAGGATAGGAATCATTTGCTGAGTTGCAACCTTTTTAAGGAGAAATAAGTTTGGAAATCAATTGGATAGCAAAGACTGATCGAGTTTCTATCATGTTTCTTGATGGTTTGGCTGTAGGTCTTTTAGAAACAGTCACTATTAATAGTCTAGTTCTTGTTGTTCTTGGTGTCTGTAGTATGGTAGGTTGATCCCATTTATAACTTGAATTTCCTAGATACATATTAGGTTGGACCGGATGCTGTTGTTGTAACGAATTCCTAGACTTTCAGATACAAATTGGGTCGATGTTGTTGTAGCAAACCCCTAGGCTTCCAGATACATTTTGGATGCTGTTGCAAGCCCCTCATAGGTCCGATGATGCTTTATTGTTTAGCTGATTCGTTAATGGCTTGTCATAATTAGTGTTTTTAGTAAAATCTTAGCAGGCTCAACATGTTGTTTGAGAGTTGGTTTAATTTACTGGTTAATGCCTCTTA